GTGGCTGGGTGAGTGAGTGGCTGAGTGAATGAGTGGCTGGGTGAGTGAGAGGCTGGGTGAGTGAGTGGCTGGGTGAGTGAGAGGCTGGGTGAGTGAGAGGCTGGGTGAGTGAGAGGCTGGGTAAGTGAGAGGCAGGGTGAGTAAGTGGCTGGGCGAGTGAGAGGCTGGGTGAGTGAGAGGCTGGGTGAGTGAGAGGCTGGGTGAGTGAGAGGCTGGGTGAGTGAGTGGCTGGGTGAGTGAGTGGCTGGGTGAGTGAGTGGCTGGGTGAGTGAGAGGCTGGGTGAGTGAGAGGCTGGGTGAGTGAGAGGCTGGGTGAGTGAGTGGCTGGGTGAGTGAGTGGCTGGGTGAGTGAGTGGCTGGGTGACTGAGAGGCTGGGTGAGTGAGACGCTGGGTGAGTGAGAGGCTGGGTGAGTGAGAGGCTGGGTGAGCGAGACGCTGGGTGAGTGAGAGGCTGGGTGAGTGAGAGGCTGGCTGAGTGAGACGCTGGGTGAATGAGGGGCTGGGTGAGTGAGAGGCTGGGTGAGTGAGAGGCTGGGTGAGTTAGTGGCTGGGTGAGTGAGAGGCTGGGGGAGTGAGAGGCTGGGGGAGTGAGAGGCTGGGGGAGTGAGTGGCTGGGTGAGTGAGAGGCTGGGTGAGGGAGGGGTGGGTGAGTGAGAGGCTGGGGGAGTGAGAGGCTGGGTGAGTGAGAGGCTGGGTGAGTGAGAGGCTGGGTGAGTGAGAGGCTGGGTGAGTGAGAGGTGGGTGAGTGAGAGGCTGGGTGAGTGAGAGGCTGGGTGAGTGAGCGGTTGGGTGAGTGAGAGGCTGGTGAGTGAGAGGCTGGGTGAGTGAGAGGCTGGTGAGTGAGAGGCTGAGTTAGTGGCTGGGTGAGTGAGTGGCTGAGTGAGTGAGTGGCTGGGTGAGTGAGAGGCTGGGTGAGTGAGAGGCTGGGTGAGTGAGAGGCTGGGTGAGTGAGAGGCTGGGTGAGTGAGAGGTGGGTGAGTGAGAGGTGGGTGAGTGAGAGGTGGGTGAGTGAGAGGTGGGGGAGTGAGAGGCTGGATGAGTGAGAGGCTGGGTGAGTGAGAGGCTGGGGGAGTGAGAGGTGGGTGAGTGAGAGGTGGGTGAGTGAGAGGTGGGTGAGTGAGAGGTGGGTGAGTGAGAGGCTGGATGAGTGAGAGGCTGTGTGAGTGAGAGGCTGGGTGAGTGAGAGGCTGGGTGAGTGAGAGGCTGGGTGAGTGAGAGGCTGGGTGATTGAGAGGTGGGTGAGTGAGTGGCTGGGTGAGTGAGAGGCTGGGTGAGTGAGAGGCTGGGTGAGTGAGAGGCTGGGTGAGTGAGAGGTGGGTGAGTGAGTGGCTGGGTGAGTGAGAGGCTGGGTGAGTGAGAGGCTGGGGGAGTGAGTGGCTGGGTGAGTGAGAGGCTGGGTGAGTGAGAGGCTGGGTGAGTGAGAGACTGGGTGAGTGAGGTGGGTGAGTGAGTGGCTGGGTGAGTTAGAGGTGGGTGAGTGAGACGGTGGGGGAGTGAGTGGCTGGGTGAGTGAGAGGCTGGGGGAGTGAGAGGCTGGGTGAGAGAGAAGCTGGGTGAGTGAGAGGCTGGGTGAGTGAGAGGCTGGGTGAGTGAGAGGCTGGGTGAGTGAGAGGCTGGGTGAGTGAGAGGCTGGGTGAGTGAGAGGCTGGGTGAGTGAGAGGCTGGGTGAGTGAGATGCTGGTGAGAGAGAGGCTGGGTGAGTGAGTGGCTGGTGTGAGTGAGAGGTGGGGTGAGTGAGAGGCTGGGTGAGAGAGAGGCTGGATGAGTGAGAGGCTGGGTGAGTGAGAGGCTGGGTGAGTGAGAGGCTGGGTGAGTGAGAGGGTGGGGGAGTGAGTGGCTGGGTGAGTGAGAGGCTGGGTGAGTGAGAGGCTGGGTGAGTGAGAGGGTGGGGGAGTGAGTGGCTGGGTGAGTGAGAGGCTGGTGAGGCTGGGTGAGTGAGAGGCTGGGTGAGTGAGAGGCTGGGTGAGTGAGAGGCTGGGTGAGTGAGAGGCTGGGTGAGAGAGAGGCTGGGTGAGTGAGTGGCTGGGTGAGTGAGAGGTGGGTGAGTGAGAGGCTGGGTGAGAGAGAAGCTGGATGAGTGAGAGGCTGGGTGAGTGAGAGGCTGGGTGAGTGAGAGGCTGGGTGAGTGAGAGGCTGGGTGAGTGAGAGGCTGGGTGAGTGAGAGGCTGGGTGAGTGAGAGGCTGGGTGAGTGAGTGGCTGGGTGAGTGAGAGGTGGGTGAGGGAGAGGTGGGTGAGTGAGAGGCTGGGTGAGTGAGAGGCTGGGTGAGTGAGAGGGTGGGTGAGAGAGAGGCTGGGTGAGTGAGAGGTGGGTGAGTGAGAGGGTGTGTGAGAGAGAGGCTGGGTGAGTGAGTGGCTGGGGTGAGTGAGAGGTGGTGAGTGAGTGGCTGGGTGAGTGAGAGGCTGGGTGAGTGAGAGGTGGGTGAGTGAGAGGGTGGGTGAGAGAGAGGCTGGGTGAGTGAGAGGGTGGGTGAGAGAGAGGCTGGGTGAGTGAGGGGCTGGGTGAGTGAGAGGCTGGGGGAGTGAGTGGCTGGGTGAGTGAGAGGCTGGGTGAGTGAGAGGTGGGTGAGTGAGAGGGTGGGTGAGAGAAAGGCTGGGTGAGTGAGTGGCTGGGTGAGTGAGAGGCTGGGGGAGTGAGTGGCTGGGTGAGTGAGAGGCTGGGTGAGTGAGAGGTGGGTGAGTGAGAGGGTGGGTGAGAGAGAGGCTGGGTGAGTGAGAGGGTGGGTGAGAGAGAGGCTGGGTGAGTGAGAGGCTGGGGGAGTGAGTGGCTGGGTGAGTGAGAGGCTGGGGGAGTGAGAGGCTGGGTGAGTGAGAGGCTGGGTGAGAGGTGGGTGAGTGAGAGGGTGGGTGAGAGAGAGGCTGGGTGAGTGAGTGGCTGGGTGAGTGAGAGGTGGGTGAGTGAGAGGCTGGGGGAGTGAGACGCTGGGTGAGTGAGAGGCTGTGGGAGTGAGACGCTGGGTGAGTGAGTGGCTGGGTGAGTGAGAGGCTGGATGAATGAGAGGTGGGTGAGTGAGAGGCTGGGTGAGTGAGAGGCTGGGTGAGTGAGAGGCTGGGTGAGTGAGAGGCTGAGTGAGTGAGAGGCTGGGGGAGTGAGACGCTGGGTGAGTGAGAGGCTGGGTGAGTGAGAGGTGGGTGAGAGGTGGGTGAGTGATAGGCTGGGTGAGTGAGTGGCTGGGTGAGTGAGAGGCTGGATGAGTGAGAGGCTGGGTGAGTGAGAGGCTGGGTGAGTGAGAGGTGGGTGAGTGAGAGGCTGGGTGAGTGAGAGGCTAGCTGGTGAGAGGCTGGATGAATGAGAGGCTGGGCGAGTGAGAGGCTAGCTGGTGAGAGGCTGGGTGAGTGAGAGGCTGGGTGAGTGAGAGGCTGGGTGAGTGAGAGGCTGGGTGAGTGAGAGGCTGGGTGAGTGAGTGGCTGGGTGAGTGAGTGGCTGGGTGAGTGAGAGGCTGGGTGAGTGAGAGGCTGGGTGAGTGAGAGGCTGGGTGAGTGAGAGGCTGGGTGAGTGAGTGGCTGGGTGAGTGAGAGGCCGGGTGAGAGAGAAGCTGGATGAGTGAGAGGCTGGGTGAGTGAGAGGCTGGGTGAGTGAGAGGCTGGGTGAGTGAGAGGCTGGATGAGTGAGAGGCTGGGTGAGTGAGAGGCTTGGTGAGTGAGAGGCTGGATGAATGAGAGGTGGGTGAGTGAGAGGCTGGGTGAGTGAGAGGCTGGGTGAGTGAGAGGCTGGGTGAGTGAGAGGCTGGGTGAGTGAGAGGCTGGGTGAGTGAGAGGCTGGGTGAGTGAGAGGCTGGGTGAGTGAGAGGCTGGGTGAGAGAGAGGCTGGATGAGTGAGAGGCTGGGTGAGTGAGAGGCTGGGTGAGTGAGAGGCTGGGTGAATGAGACGCTGGCTGAGTGAGTGGCTGGGTGAGTGAGAGGCTGGGTGAGTGAGAGGCTGGGTGAGTGAGAGGTGGGTGAGTGAGAGGCTGGGTGAGTGAGAGGCTGGGGGAGTGAGAGGCTGGGTGAGTGAGAGGCTGGGTGAGTGAGAGGTGGGTGAGTGAGAGGCTGGGTGAGTGAGAGGCTGGGTGAGTGAGAGGCTGGGTGAGTGAGAGGCTGGGGGAGTGAGAGGCTGGGTGAGTGAGAGGCTGGGTGAGTGAGAGGCTGGGTGAGTGAGAGGCTGGGTGAGTGAGAGGTGGGTGAGTGAGAGGCTGGGTGAGTGAGAGGCTGGGTGAGTGAGAGGCTGGGTGAGTGAGAGGTGGGTGAGTGAGAGGCTGGGTGAGTGAGAGGTTGGGTGAGAGAGAGGCTGGATGAGTGAGAGGCTGGGTGAGTGAGAGGCTGGGTGAGTGAGAGGCTGGGTGAGTGAGAGGCTGGGTGAGTGAGAGGCTGGGTGAGTGAGAGGCTGGGTGAGTGAGTGGCTGGGTGAGTGAGAGGCTGGCTGAGTGAGACGCTGGGTGAATGAGACGCTGGCTGAGTGAGTGGCTGGGTGAGTGAGAGGCTGGGTGAGTGACAGGCTGTGTGAGTGAGAGGCTGGGTAAGTGAGTGGCTGGGTGAGTGAGAGGCTGGGTAAGTGAGTGGCTGGGTGAGTGAGTGGCTGGGTGAGTGAGAGGCTGGCTGAGTGAGACGCTGGGTGAATGAGACGCTGGCTGAGTGAGTGGCTGGGTGAGTGAGAGGCTGGGTGAGTGAGAGGTGGGTGAGTGAGAGGCTGGGTGAGTGAGAGGTGGGTGAGTGAGAGGCTGGGTGAGTGAGAAGCTGTGTGAGTGAGAGGCTGGGTGAGTGAGAGGCTGGGTGAGTGAGAGGCTGGGTGAGTGAGAGGCTGGGTGAGTGAGAGGCTGGATGAGTGAGAGGCTCGGTGAGTGAGAGGCTGGGTGAGTGAGAGGTGGGTGAGTGAGAGGCTGGGTGAGTGAGAGGCTGGGTGAGTGAGTGGCTGGGTGAGTGAGAGGCAGGGTGGCTTTGTGACCAAGCGCGTGAGTGGTTTTAAGTAAGGGACTGAGCGCGTGAGTGGTTAGGTCAGTGACTGGTCAACCGATTAGAGCCACGCATCGGACTGGGGTCGGGACTGCAGCCTCCTCGGAGATCCACGCAGCCTCACCCTCTCGACACGGAGCCCCACGAGGGGGGGCCCAGTGGGGAGATGCAGAACCTCCTGGGGCCCGCGTGCATCTTCCTCCGGGGGGGCCTAGCCGAGGCCCTCATCAAGGTCAGGGCAGGTGGATCGCGCGCGGATGGCGTTTCCGTGCAGCACTGCTGCTGTCGAAAGTTTCGCCGTGATTGACGATGGTGGAAAATGAGCGGTGGCTTAGCACGATTGGGCTCGAGCGCTCTGCTGCGAGGTGATGATACTGCTGCCCATGAGGATGCTGCTGATGATGGTGACGATAATGGTGGTGATAATTATGCCAATTGTGATGCTGATGATACTGGTTATGCTGATAACGATCCTTATGATGCCAGTGATGATTATGATGCTGATTGTGAAGCTGATGATGTAGGTGCTGATGACCTTCCTGATGATGATGGTGCTGGTGATGTTAATGCTGATTATGATGCTGATGATACAGATGATGATGATGATGCCGGTAATGTTGATGATGTTGATGATGCTGGTGATGGAGGACACCCTGTAGGTGCAGTCAGCATCTGTGCAATCCTGGGATGGTGCTCTACTTATAATTTAGCGTGCCCACCGCCTTAGCAATGTGGACTTGACACCCTTGGATTTGGTCAATGATGATGCGAGTGGCATCTGTCACTGTTCACCGGGGAGACGATGCGATGGCATACATATGTATGTTGAACTTATTTCGCACCGTACGTAGCTGACCGTGATAATTGGAGGCATTGGCTTGTAAACCCCTGGGGTTGTCTCTGTGTACCCCGGAACAATCCGACCCTCGGGGTTCCTCCTCCCGCTGGGAACGGATCCCGCGTCGAAAAGGAACCGGATGCAGGAATCGAAGCGTGGGGTGGCTAACCCCTCCGTACAGGATTGTGACACATTCGTATGGGATCGTGACCCTCAATACGGGGTCGTGACCCCTCCATACGGGATCATGACCCTTCCGTACGGGGTCGTGACCCCTCCATACGGGGTCGTGACCCCTCCGTACGGGGTCGCGGTTCTGCTCCTAGCGTGGCTCCCCCCGGTGTGCTGCCGGGTTGTGGCGCGTGCACCGTGTCCGACGTTCCTTTACACCTGCTGAGAGCTTCTGAGGGAACCGGAGCTCCCAGCACACGTGCAAGTGTGAGGCGTGACGAGGCCAGGCCAGGCCTCGTCACGCCTGGCCACGCGTGACGGCTATGCTGCGTATGGCTGCCTGTGATCCAGCGCTGCGTGGAGGCAGCAGCAAGGGTTTGTGGATCACCCCACATAGATGTTGCTAAACTCCCTTCTTCCCGTGGGCGTAGAGGAGGAGACGGACTCTGTCTCACCAGGAGAAGGCAGTACAGATAATGTGGACTCCGCCTGTTCCATCTGCGTGGGATCGAGTGTTGCCCCCTCACACGCGTGGGTTTCCTCCGGGTGCTCTGGCTTCCTCCCTCATGTAGTAAACACTCGTGAATTGGCCGATAACAACTTCATATATAGAGGAGGGCAGAGCTTGGGGAGGATTTTGGCTGCTGCGTTCTCACTTGCCTTTGGTTCCTTGCGCTTCTTAGCCGTTCTCTCTCTGAGAGTGAGCGAGTGCTGTATGACACGTAAAGGCCCTGATGAATTGGCTGAGAATATCTTAATATATAGATGACTGCAGAACTTGGGGTTGGTAGCGGGAGTATTTGGCGCCGGCTCGCCACGTAGCTGCAGTTGCTGTCTCCCAGCTCGTCTGTGGTTCCTCCTGCAGGTGCCTCTGAGTCGCCCTACCTCCCTCTTTCCTCCCACGAGAGCGGGGAGCGAACACAGTTCAGATATCGTGAATAGGGGCGCCACGGTGGCGAGATGTTAACTACCTCACCTGGTCTACATCGTGGGTTCGATCCGGACCCTGGAGTTTGTGTGTCTCTCTTTACGTCCCCGTGGTTGCGTGGATTTTTCTCCGGGTCCTCCGGGCTTCCTCTCCGCATTTAGTAACACGCATTTAGAGTATTTGGCTCCTATAGATGTCCACGTGATGAGAAGCCGCTTCGTTGGGTGATCACTTGTGGCCAGGTCGCTTCTGAAAAAGAGCTGCATATAGCTCAGCGAGCCTAACCTGATAAAATATAAATAGTAGTCAAGAGTTATTATATAAAGAGTTTCGATTTAAAGCTTTCGTGACTGCAGGGATTCATATTCTTGGTTCTTTCGGTACAGTCACGAAGAAGGGAAATAATAAAATAATACACATAAAACAATAAAATTCTCACGACGTTTCGATTGCAACACAAGCAATCATCATTAGGTGTGAAAACCACATTTTATGTTTTCCCTTCTACGTGACTTTACCGAAAGAACCAAGAATATAACACATTCCTGCGGAGGGAGCTGGTAGGAACGTTGGGTTGCTCGGTCAATGGCCAGGGTCAACGGCGGCGTGCTGTATTCCGCAAATATGCCCGACTGTGAGGGCGGGCACAAGCCGGCGTGAGTAGGTTAAACGTTGAGTTTTATAAGGGAACCACGGGGTGACCAGCCCCTCCCCACCCAGCCCCACCCTCCACCTCCCAGCCCCACCCTCCCCACCCAGCCCCTTCCCACCCAGCCCCTCCCCACCCTCCCCTCTCCACCCAGCCCCACCCCTCCCACCCCCCACCCAGCCCCTCCCCACCCTCCACTCCCCACCCAGCCCCTCCCCACCCTCCACTCCCCACCCTACCCCACCCTCCCTACCCAGCCCCTCCCCACCCTCCCCTCCCCACCCAGCCCCTCCCTGCACGACGGACACAATAATCCTCTGTGGGCTGGTGTAAGCAGGAGGTTCCTACCAGTATAAGGAGTTATTATATAGAGAGTTGTTATTATATAACAGTATACTCCCCTCGCCTCTCTCCCGCCCCGGACTCGTTGGACACAAGGAGAGGGAACTTCGCCCCGAAGAGATTGAAGGTGCGGATGCACAGACACCCCGATTCCTTTCGATGCAAAGCTTTCGTGACTGCAGGGATCCATCTTCTTGGTTCTTTCGGTAAAGTCACGTAGAAGGGAAGCAATAAAATAATAAAAATAAAACATAATAAAATAAAATAATTCTCACGACGTTTCGGCCACAACGCAAGCAGCCGTCCTCAGGTGAAGAATGAGACATTGCTAAATTCCTCTTCATATGCACATTCTTTTTGTTAAGGCGCTCTTGCACCTCCAACGCAGCGTATATATTAGCTCCTAGCTTGGTAATGTCTCATTCTTCACCTGAGGACGGCTGCTTGCGTTGTGGCCGAAACGTCGTGAGAATTATTTTATTTTATTATGTTTTATTTTTATTATTTTATTGCTTTCCTTCTACGTGACTTTACCGAAAGAACCAAGAAGATGGACCCCGATTCCCTGCCCACGCTAACCGCACTCCATCTCCGCAGCGGATGAGCTCTTTCGGGCGTGCTCCCATCTGTTCTGAAAACGTAAATTGCCCAGTAAACACGCCAAACGTTGACTCAACGTTGCGCCAACGTGTTTGTGTGTTATCCGTATATCTATTTACAAATGTGTTTATATATCCCATTGGAACCTCATTTGTCAGTAAAAAAATATGATAATTGTTTTTTTACCCTTCTATCTGGCAACAAAACTGACACCTTTTTTTACAAGGAGTCATGTTTGCATAGACCACAATACCTGCAGTCATAATGCAGGTATTGTGGTGCGCCTTTTGGCGTCATCTGGTCCAACCCATGTGAGACTAGGCTCTAAGGAAAGCTGTCTCGGGTGTGGACCAATCAACTTCAAGGACAGTGCACATTATCAGAGTTATGTTTTTTGTTTGCATTATGACTGCAGGTATTGTGGTCTATGCAAACATGACTCCTTGTAAAAAAGGTGTCAGTTTTTTTGCCAGATAGAAGGGTAAAAAAACAATCATTATGTTTATATATCCTCCACAAAGGGGTTTGTGTTGTTTAATTTAGCATCGAAGCAGGGCCCATCTCTCACACGGAGCGCCCTTCCCTGTAAACATCTGGGCAGTGCACCAGCATTGCTTCAAGCGAGCTTCACTCTGCTGATGAGGACACCGAATGCCAAAACCCCGGTCCTTGCCTACTAACATTTGGCAGTTCAGCATTGGTACAAGCGAACCTGGCTCTGCTGGTGAGACACTGTGCAGTTCACCATGCAGCATTGGTTCAGGCAAGCAAGCCTGGCTCTGCTGGTGAGATACTGAATGTCGAATTCGGCTCAGAGCTTGATTGCCTTAAACCAATAACTGCTGATGCAGAAAATGCACTCCCAGACGAACTCCGCGTGTGGCTGATGGAATGTCTTAGAGCATTACTCAATATACATTGTGTGGAGCGAAGGGATGTAGGATTCCTTCGGCTTGATCCGTATTTGTTTGAGCGTAAGGCCACGCGGTAGCGGTGTTCTTATCAAAATTCTTCCAAAGGTCTACCCCGTGGCCCAACCCAAAATCAAACATGGATAATTGTGCTGGCTACCAAACCCCACGGCTATTTTGCCACGGTGGCGAGATGTTAAATACCTCTCCTGGTATACAGGAGGTCGTGGGTTCGATCCCGACCCTGACGCCTGCTGTATATTTGGAGTGATCGTATGGATTTCTCTCCGTGTCCTCCGGGTTTTCCCTCCACTTTTAGAATTACCGTGCGTTTAAAGTATTTAGCTGCAATACATTTCCATGCGATAAGCCACTTCGTTAAGCTCTCATTTGTGGCCAGGTCGCTTCTGAAAAAGAGCGATGTATCTTAGTGGGCCTTACCTAGTTAAATACAAATTAGTTTAGTTTAAATAGTTTAGGTGATGTCTGCGTATTTACATCATAGGCTCATCACGGATACTTGGACGTTCTTGTTGATTACGCACAAAGTGCTTGCCACGAATCAACCAAAATTCCTTGCTGCTCTCGTCAAGGAGCCTAAACCATCACGGGAATTTCATTCATCCTCACAGCAGCAGCAGCAGCGGCGGCGGCTTCTGACTGCTGCCCATCGAACAAAGACGGTTGTCACCGCATCGCGCGCTTTCAGATGCGCTTCTGTGGCCGTCTGGAACGTTCTTCCTTACGATATTCGGAAGCCACCGGAGCTGTGCACTTTTAAGTAATATAGATTGGCAAACTAACTTCTTTATAAACTGCTTTTTGTGTTTAGTTTGTTGCCTTTCACCCGCACCTACGATGAGCATGGTTGGCTACGATTGGTGCGAAAAAAGTTCAACATACATACAACAAAGACAACGATCCCCCGTGTAGCCTTTACAGACTATTGGGGCAAGTGCTGTTAGCGAGCGCCTATGAAGGCCGTCACGGCACACGAGGGGGTAGGTGGCCAGCACCACGCCCGACCGCCTTTGTCTCCCAAGTGGCGATATTTTACACACCTCACCAGGTACTCACTTGAGGCTGAGTCGATCTAGGGGAGGCCCAGGAACGGTTCAGATAATCGTCACTATTGGTGGCCGTGAGCGGGAATCGAACTCGGGTGGCCGGGGTTCGTAGCGTAGCGGCCTCACCGTTGCACTCCATGCATGTACAGTTTGTTGAACGTCTTTCGCGGCCGCACGTAAACGCATCGGCCTGAGAGGCACGCAGCCGGGTTCGTGTAGTTCGTCTTTAATCCGCGCCGTGCGCTGACCGCGACGTTTGCTGCGAGTGCCTCTCAACGCCAATCACCGACACCACCGCGTCCCCGCTCACCCACCATCCACATCATCATCATCATCTTCACTCAGTGTCTCTCCCCATTGCTCACCACCGTCTCCCCGTCTATCCATAAGCGCTCACCTCTCTGACCTAATCCACTCACCACAATCACCTTGTGTCCATTTCCCAAGAGCCCACCGTCACTCACCACCACCATCACTCACATCCACCACCATCCTGACCACCATCGCCACCACCACCATTACTCACCATCACTATCACTCACCACCATCGTCAGTCTACCACCCTGCCTTTGCCACCATTGTAATTAACATCCCCTCAACGATCTCATCGATCACATCTCATCATCACCACCACCTTCGCCTGATCATGCTCACCTTTACCTTATCATCATCATCACCTCCAATACCATATCCCTAACCCCATCACTCCCATCACCATGTCCCTAACCCCATTACCCTGTTGCTAAACCCATCAATCACCCTGTCCCTAAACCCATCATCTTGTCCCTAACCTCATCACTCCCATCACCCTATCCCTAACCCCATCATTCTGTCTCTAACCCCATCACCATCATCACCCTGTCCCTAACCCCATCACTCCCATCACCCTGTCCCTAACCCCATCACCATCATCACCCTGTCGCTGACCCCATCACCTCCCCCATCCTGCAGAGCTGCGCGAGGCGTTCCGCGAGTTTGACCGCGACGGCGACGGTTTCATGACGTGCCGCGACCTCGGCCTGTGCATGCGGACCATGGGCTTCATGCCCACCGAGATGGAGCTGCTGGAGCTCTCGCAGAGCATCAACATGACTCGTGAGCGCATCGCACCGCGCTGCACCGCGCTGCACTGCACCGCACTGCATCGCACCGCGCTGCACCGGATCTCGCCGCATTGCACGGCTCCGCATCGCAGTGCACCGCAGTGCCCTGTAAGTCTGAATCCAAACACAAATCAACTGTATTGCTGCCAGAGACAGACTCTGCGGCAGTGAGCATTGGTGGCCATGCCATGCTGATGAGTCCTAGTGATGACGAAGCTCGTTCCACCACGGTTTGCGTATTTCTGCAGCACTGCTGCTGCCACTGTCACTGGCAGTCGGTGGTGTTGCATTTTGCTTAAATCCAATTCGTTTTGAGGGTGAGTTGAAGACATGAAGGATCACAATGCAGTTCTTCAGGAACTGCCGATGTTTTTTTTATTTTGCAAGTTTGACAAATGGCTGTGTGGCATTCGATACTCCAATGGATACCACGGGGACCGAGACGAGACTCTGCAATGCCTCAGATTTCCATCGACGACACTGAGACCGTGACAGCAACAACAACAACAACAAAACAGAAGAATCGCCGACTAAACCCACACGTGTGATTTGGGGGGAAGGCAGCTCGTGTGATAATGGCGATGGTGGTGGCTGGGTCCCCTACAGGCCAAAATAAGCTAACACTATTTTTTGTTTCACCAGGTAAGCCCCACTGAGCTATTTAGATTTCAGAAGCGACCTGGCCACAAATGATAGCTCAACGCAGTGGCTCATCGCGTGGAAATGTATAGCAGTAGCCAAATGCTCTAAACGCATCTTTATTCTAAATGTGGAGGGAAAAACCGGAGGACCTGGAGAAAAATCCACACGATCACGGGGGGGAGAGAGAGACACGCAGACTGCAAATACACATCAGGCGTCAGGGTCGGGATCCAACCCAACGACCTCCTGCATGCCAGGCGAGGTATTTAACATCTCCTAGCCACCGTGATGATGATGAGAGAGAGACACGCAAACTCCAAATATACAGCAAACGTCTGGGTCGGGATCGAACCCACGACCTACTGTAGACCAGGAAAGGTAGTTAACATCTCCTAGCCACCGTGATGATGATGAGAGAGAAACACGCAACATCCAAATATACAGCAGGCGTCAGGGTCGGGATCGAACCCAACGACCTCCTGTAGACCAGGCGAGGTAGTTAACATCTCCTAGCCACCGTGGCACCCAATGCAGCCCAGTGAGTCAAGGGCGAGGCGGAGTGCGCGTCTGCTGGGGCACGAGGAGTCGTTGGGGTTCTGTGGTGCCACAACGACGGGGCCGCTCTGCCGAACCAGGGAGCCGCCCGGCTTCCCCCACCGCACTGCCCCCCATCACCCGCCCCACATAAGCACACACCCGCACGCATCCCCCCCCCCCCCCATAGAGCTGGAAGGGAAGGTCACCTGATCGACCGGTTTTTATCCGAGAGACCCTTATCGGGATTAATTCTCACGGTTTCCGGCGATCAGGGAATTGGATGACCTCCCCGTGCTACGTGGCACCGCGGCGCTGCGGCCGGCCTTAATATGGTAGGTCGTGGCGTGGGGCATTCGGCCACCGCGGTTGAGGCGCATTTCCCCCCACACACACTCCCACGGGTCGACGGGGCGAGCAGGGGAGGCACGGGACAGCATGAATAGCGGGGTCACAGGGGCTGTTGCGCATAGTCATGGAGGGTTGGGATAATTGCGCTTGAGCGCGCAAGCCCCATTGGTAGGAAGGGTAAGGGAGTAATTAGGATTTACGCCTTGCACGCAGCACACTGATTAGCATATCAACAGCGCCTGGGGACTGCGGTGCGCGGGCTTGGGGTGCACGAGCCCATTGTTCAGCGCAGCATCCCCTTTGGGAGGTAGGGAGGATAAATAGAGGAGCGCAGAGGGGAAATCGCTCTCTTACTCCAGCGCCAGGCGACCAGACGCAGCTCGAGCCAGCGACCCGGACGTCCGTGCGACGCACCGAGGCACGCGGTTAACAGAAGGATCAGCGGACCGCCGTGGACACTTAACAGTGAGTAAGAAGGGGAATTAGAATCATAGCCGATAAATAGGGAATAGGTACAGGTTTAGTGGAATAGGCCAGCCTCGTCGACTCACTGATTCAACATCAATTCGCAGGTGGCATATAATAAATCATTAATAGCGAAGCGTGGTCTCGCGTGATCTTGTCGTGCAGTGTGAGCGTGTGGGTGCGCTGTGTGCACAGTGGTTCGCCACGGGAGTGAGCGCTGCGCGGAGCTGAGCGCGCGGGTTGCGTGTGGGAACGCGTGTGGTACTGTGTGTGCGTAAGCTCGCGGCGTGCGTAATTGGCGTACCCCAGGTGCGCGATTGTAACGTGAGCGGCCAGCGCGGCGCAGAGAAGCGCAAGAGTGAGTGCCGTACAGAGCTGTGTGTGTGGGTGTGCGCGTACGTAATTAACCATGCCTGCTACGCGGACCCGCGGTGGAGTGGAATCCTCGGGCGACGGCTCCCACCCCATGGGTGAGGAACTTAGCAGCGGTTCGCTTAGCAGCGGGGGGGCGATTGATGATGCTAGCCCGGCCGTTAGCATTATCGAGGGAGGGATCTCGGGGGCTAGCGACCCCCACAAATTGGTGTCGGAAGCGGTACGGACCCCCGCGTTACCTCACGCTAAAATAAGACTAATATTTACCGGCCGGGGGGCCCCTTCGTGGAAGGCATTCGCCCGCAATCTCTTAGGGGCCAAGGAAATTAATGGATGGACGGACGCGCAGGCAGTACGTCAACTTAATATGAATCTTGATGGGCGGGCAGCCGATTTTGTAGAAGCGTTACCCGCGAGCGCACAGACACAGCTAGAGGAGCTGATGCGCCGACTCGATCAGCGTTTTGGCACGCGTGACGAGGAGGAAGCAAAATCGGCCTTAGAGGCGCGCCGGCGCCAACCTGGCGAAGATCTACGTGATTACGCCGAGGATGTGTGCGAGTTAACAAAGATCGCACGCCCGGGGTACGCAGCTGATGTTATTGAGGAACTGGCCGCCGAGAAAATCCAGCGGTACCTGTCTCGCACGGCGTGGTGGCAGCCAGACATGAGCTGCCCACGTCTTCCCTTTAACACCCTTGTCGAGCGCGCACGTAAGTGTGAAAGAATTCACAGCGAACGCGCGCAGCTCCGGGGGCTGGGACGAGAGCGCGCCATTGCGAGCCTGCTCTCGGAAGACGAGGAGGAGGAACAGGAGCTCGCAAGGACGGTAAGGGGCCGGGAAAGAGAGCCTCCAGTGTCCCGCGAGACAACCCCGGGATGGGTTGCCGGTATACAAACGGGTATAAAGGATGTCTCCGGCCAGGTAACCCAGATAGACAACAAGGTAAACCACGTAGGTGAGAGGGTAACCCAGGTACGCGAGGAAACGAATACAAATATGACCAAACTGCAATCCTCCGTTGAGACCATCCGATCCGAGATGGGGGAACTAGACTCCACGGTAGGAGGGCTAACTGGAAGGATAGCGCGACTAGAAGCAGAGTATGAGCAGCAGCGCACTGGGGGAGGAGGGAGTGGGCAGAGAGCCCACTACGGAGCCGCCACCCCTTCCCGGGCATGTTATATGTGCGATCGCCGAGGGCATCTAGTGAGGGACTGTCCTCAGGTCGCCCGAGCTAGACAAGAGCTAAGGTCAAACACTAAGGCCCCCCTAGAGAGGGGACCACCGGGGGGTGAAATCGACGTAGCCCCGACACAAACAAGGTGTGAGAATAATGGCGAGCGAGTGATCTCCACACAGGTTCCAGCAACAACGCCCACAGAAACGGTGACTCCTGGCGACTGGCTACGGGAGCTGGTGGCGGGGATCACGGGGGCCACGTCGCTGGTGGAAGGGGAGGTAAACGGAGTGCGTACCCGAATCCTGCTGGACACGGGGGCGGTGGCCTCGCTCGTGAGCGCAGCGCACTGCAGCGCGATCGGGGTCGACGTGCGTCACCTGCAGGCCCCGGACCGCGCGCTGCACACTGCGAGCGGAGCCGGAATGGGGCTGCTGGGGAGAGCCACCCTAGAGGTCCGCATAGGCAGCCAGGTGTGCACGCAGGAGTTCTACGTGTCGAGTGTGTTGTGTCACGAGTGTATCGCAGGCACCGACCTCCTAGAACGGTTGGGACTCAACGTGCAACCCCGCCAGCGATGCGCCACCATGGAGAGCAACGGCGAGCGGATACCGTTCCTGGGACGAGAACCAACGCGCCGCCGCTTTGCACCTGTGGCCGCTATCCTGGCGACGGCAGTCACCATCGGCCCGCTCACCGAGATGCTGGTGCCGGTGGCAACATCCCCCACCGACCCCGCGCTCCGACCATCAGGGGAGGTAATGCTAACTCCTCACCCGGAGTTGGCAAAACGGTATGGGGTTGTGGGATCCGCCACGTTGGTAAACGCAGATGGGGACCGATTGTTTATGCGGATGTTTAACCCCCACAATACCCCCGCGATACTGCGACGGCGCACCCCGATAGCCACAGTACACCCCCTGCACGCACGCCACTCTAACGACTCGGTGTTCGCACTCTGGGCTGAGGACCCCGGTCGTCCTGAGGGTGAGCAGGACCTGGCCTGGCGAGTCGGCCCGACTCCCCGAGCCGAGGTCGTTCCCCTGCTCGACGCGTTACATGTACCATGGGCGGACTTACCTAAGGGAGAGGCCGATCGGCTGCGCGAGTTACTGCGGGAGTATGCCGACGTGTTCAGCGAACACGACTCGGACGTGGGTCGGACCGACCTTGTTAAGCATCAAATTGACACCGGTGCAGCCCGACCCATCAAACTCCCTGCGTACCGAGTGGGCGCACCCGAACGCGCCCAAATCAAAGAGGCAGTTGGGGACATGCTTCGCGATAACATAATTCAGCCCTCGGCGAGCCCCTGGTCAGCCCCGGTGGTACTAGTAACGAAAAAGGATGGGTCAACCCGGTTCTGCGTCGATTACCGTAAACTAAACTGCAGTCACGCTCGGCGATGCCTTCCCCATACCTCGCATCGACGACACCTTCGACAGCCTCGCCGGAGCGCGATATTTTTCCACCCTCGATCTCGCGTCCGGTTACTGGCAGGTGGAGATGGCGGAGGAGGATCGGCCGAAAACAGCATTCACCACCCCTGATGGGGCTATTCGAG